ATTCCTAGATACCTGACTATCCAGAAAACCTCTTTAAATCTACCAGGCAACTTATCATTTTTTTTTTGTTCGGCTGGAATCAGGTGAAATTCTTTTTGAAAAATGCAAGGCTGTTTTTTTAAATTGCCTGCTAAAGTTATAATACAAAAAAATACAAACAAGGCCAATTTAACAAAACAGGGCCCAGATCCCGACCCACAATTCGATAGTATCGTCCATATAAATTACATAGACGATACTATCGAATCGTGGGTTCGGGATCCGGGCCCTAAAAAGAAAAATATGTAGTTATAACAGTAATTGGTTTATGAATTCCAAATGTTCTCAGATTTCAAGTTCCATGAAAGGTTAAAAAAATCTCTATATTGCTTCAAAACTCCTCTTTGTCAGGATGACATCTTCCAATATGCAGTCAAGTCATAATAGGACAAGTCACGAATGATTTTAATCTCAAGAAATCTTTGCGGAATGACTTGCATAACGTTTTCTCCAACACAAATAAACATAAATCAAGGGTTAATTTCTGTGTTTCAGCCTCAAAAAGTTAAGGAAAAGGATTTAATCATCACAAAAGCAGGTAAGGGCGATTGTCTTGTGATTCTGACTAATAACAATTTTGAACCCCTAACTAACAATCCACGCAATGCCTTTGTAAGGAAAACTAACAAGTTGATTAAATACTTTAGCGATTTCTTGTCAGAATGTCACGCTCCAAATAATATTATTGCTAGTAACCCCAACATTCAAGCAGATGGCCTCGCAAAAGAAGGGGCCTCAACACCATACCATGGACCAGAGCCCTACTGTGGCTTAATGAAAAGCCACATCATGGAAGAACTCAATAAATGGGAGGAAGACCAACTGTCATCATACTGGAGGCACACACCGGGACTCAGACAGTCTAAAAGGTTTATTACCCTTTCAGCAAAAAGAGCTGAACAGCTCCTAAGCATGAGCAGACCAGACATCAGATTGGTGGTGGGACTGCTCACAGGACACTGCCCAGTAAAATACCATTTAAGGTTAATGGACAGAGCGGAAGATGATCTCTGCAGATTCTGCTCAGACGCAATAGAGACCGCAGAGCACCTCTCTCTGCGAATGTCCAGCCCAATTTTGCGAGAGGCTCAAATTCCTCGAGGGGGCAACACTGTCACCAGAAGAAGTGGGCCAACTAACACCCAGGAAAATAGCTTCCTTCGGCAGAAGTCTACGCTTCCTGGAGACAATTTGAGATGTAGAGTCATGTACAAAATATCTGCAAAGGTAGCAGTGCTGAGCCGCTGAAAAGCCGAAACGACTCCCCCGCAATCTACAATCTACAATCTACAACCCCAACATGCCTCGTCTATACAGATTCGCAAACCCCATACCTCTACCAGACCAGTTTCTCCAATACTCCAATATCTACCCTATCAGTATTTATAGTATACTCAATTTGATCGGATCAGCCACAATTTTTTGACCTAAATATTGTATAAGCAATACTTTAGATTTGGTACAGAAATTGAAAAAGTTGAAAATTCCATCTAACTATATGTCTGTCTCAAAATGATTTCTCCTTTAATGGCAAGTATTATCAGCATCCAGATGGTTTGGCTCTATGGGTAGTAACATTTCCCCATTTTTGGCTGATGCCTTTATTTTCTGGAGAAAAACCACATAATCATAAATCAGAACTCAAGAGAAACTGCATTGGTTCAGGTGCAGGACTGCCTTGCCTTCTTGATTTGTAACATTGAAGGAACATTTTTTTTACATTGGAAGTAGAAACTAACCAAAGAAATAACTTTCTAGATGTTTTTATAATTGAAGAGCCTGACAGCTTACAATTTCAAATTTACAGGAAACCCGCACAAATGGGTCACACAATTTCCAGTAGTTCAAATCTCCCCTCCCACAAGTTTAGCAGCTTTCCATTACTACATAAATAGGCTACTCAACATTCCAATTCCAACAGAAAGCTACCACAATGAAGCGAAAATATTGAAATAAATAGCTTATAATAATCAATACGATCCCAACAATCAACATGATACACACAACGATCTCAAGAACCAAATTAAGAAGAATCAGAAAAGAAATCTATCCCTTTCCCTCAACTACCGCAAATAGATACATCATAGCAATACCGAACTCTGACCAAAAACCCAATTCAGACGTTATACATATCCTTCGCCATTCCGTCCAGGAGTCAAAAATTTCTTTCAAGAGTGAAAATAGCCTAGCGCACCATGTAAACTCTAAGGACAAAATAGACAATTTGCCCAAGAGCGATATTTACAAATTGAAATTAGGATCATGCAACAGCACCTATGTAGGTCGCACATCTCATATAGGCCCTTAAAAACTGGCATCCAAGAACATCGATCTTTCCAGAAATTCTTCTGCTTTTGGTGAACATCTCAAGTCCAATAACCATATTTTCTTCGATTGTAACATTGTTACTCCCACCGTTTTCCAGATCCTAATGCAATCTCATCCTTATCTTGGACACAATGTATATCCTACCAATAAGTTGTTTGGTAAAAAAATTTTTATATAAAAAAATTAAGATAACGGAAGTACAGATATTATTGAGGTTTGAATCAAACGGTTTAGAGAAGACTCAATAATAAATATAAAACATTTTGTTAACATCTTCTCAAAAAAAAAAACGCAAAAACACCGTTATTAGTCCAGTGTAGGGCCAGATTGTAGCGAGTCACCTCCGGGTTGGTTTTAAATCCATGGTAAGCATGTCTGATTGCTATGTTTACCCTGCAGTTATCCTTAACCCGGGGGGTGACCTGCTATTGAGCAACCGGCCCATAATGAGTTTTATTCCATAATAGGTACTCTAAAGTTGCACTGTTTCATCAGAAAAATCAATCAAAAAATCCTTTTTTTCCATTTTCAATCTATTAATATTCGTTTTTCATTATCTTAAATTTATAAACAATTTTTTGCCAAACAACTTATTTTGACGAAAAATATACACTGTTAAAAAAAAAACACACTTCCAGATTCATCCTGTATAGCACCGGACACAAAACTATGCAAACTCGATGATTACGAATTCAGCATATTCACATAGAAAATTCACCGGGATCACCCCGTTTCAAGCCCCTAGAGGAGACGACTCTATTCCCTACAAATTCTTTAGCGACAGCATATGTCCACAATCTACCCTTTAGCGAGGGAGGCGGTCTAAAGTTGACTACTTTTGAAAAAGCATGCTTCTGCAAAACAATTTTTTTTCGTCAATACAAATGCATATCGACAAAACCTGCAGTTATTCATCACAGATGTATGACCATGCGCAATTTTATGACCAATAGAATACCGTTTTGAAACTAGAAAGATTCCGAATACTTCCGGAGATATTCGGAAAAAACCAAAATTTTGTAAAATCGTTTTTATTTTTTTCCAGGTTTATTTGAAAAGCAATTTTAAAATAAATGTCACTTCATCATTATCACTTTTTCTCCTTTAGAAGATAGTGCTACTAAATTTAAAATTCGACGTTTCTTTTCCTGGATTTTTTATTTGCGATTTTGTCATCTTTGCGCATCCTAAAACCGATACTGTTTATAATTTTTCAATAACACAGCAAAAAAAGCAGGTCCGAAACGTCGAATTTTAAATTTAGTACCACCATCTTCTAAAGGGGAAGAAGTGACAATGATGAAGTGACATTTATTTTAAAATTGCTTTTCAAATAAGCCCGGGAAAAAAAAACGATTTCTCAAAATTTTGGTATTTTCCGAATATCTCCGGAAGTATTCGGAATCTTTCTAGTTTCAAAACGGTATTCTATTGGTCATAAAATTGCGCAACTTTGCCATGATTTAACCGACCCCGTATCTCTTACGGTTACCGAGATCCCAATGATGAGGCTCAAATTTGGGCCACCCTGTATATCCGGACACATATTTATCAAGAAAAAAGTTTTATTTTTACGAGATCTACCATCCCTAGAAGTTTGTAACAAACCTTTCGTGACACCCTGTATATGACTTATTACATTTGACCCTATTTATTTATGGTTGCCCCAAATAAAACACGAAATAATCACCAAAAATAGGAATGGCTGAACGTGCAGGAACCGCAGGTGATGCACGCAGCAAAAACTGTGCATCGGATTGTGAAAAATCAAGTGATTGACTTTACTTACAAATAATAGGGATTTCAAAAATAATTTCTATTTTAGGAGAAATCAGTGGCGCACCATCAATGTATGCTAAAATAGCCCAGCCAAATTCCGTAAAAACGCCACTGGTGGAAATCTACAAAAATGTGGTACATTAAAAACTGGCTCTTGATTCATAGTGCCAAATTTCATTAAAATACAGATATTAATAATAAATGATTTTTGTATTAATCTGTATCTTAAAAATTAAGACGTTCAGGACATACGTTCATATGAACTATGAAGTTTTCTTCTTAAAATGGTTTGTGTTGAATTTTTTTCTAATAAGCATGAAAATTAGGTTATAGCCATACCTATGCAGCAGAATGCTCGAAACTTATCAATGCAAAGCTATATCAAATAAAATTCCTACAAGAATTCTAAATTACTTACAAAAGAAAATTTCATTTATGCACAAGTCAACTGGAAAAACAAAATTTGAAAACAGAAAAAAATCGCGCGCACCAGGAGAACCCACTCACACGTTCTACAGTTCAAAGATAACGTAATTAGCATAACATTAATTGCATTATAAAAATAGCAATTTGGTACCGCTGTGACGTCATAGCGTGCTATCCATGCGGTTTAATTAATTATAATTTACTCCTCAGAGAAAAAAAACCACTGGGTTATATATTGCTTGATAATTAGGTGATGGCAGCTTTTTGACGTCATTGCATTTTGTTTTTGTTAATTCATACTGCTGGAGGATTTATTTGGAATATTAAATTTCAATATTCAATTAATTCGAAGAAAAAATCAGTTCGCCGATTCGAGTCAAATGGATTGCTATTATCAAAAATTTAGATACAAAAGGGAATGAACTTACTCTTAAGGCTTGTAAACTCCCCTGCGTTGTCTGTATAACAGAATTCGGTTTGCTGACTAGAATAACGTTTCCTTTACCAAGTATGGGCTGTATGTTAGCTGCTGTCTGTATAACTGACTGTTGATTTGGTTGTATCACGCTTTGTACCTGAAAATAGGGAAAATACCTCAAACATTTTCACATGGTATAAGATTATATAGTAATATAAAATATCTAAATTGTTGAGATGTTTTGAGTAAATTTTCATAAACGCTGTAGGCATGAGGCTATAAACATTTTATGTGAATTTATGACAAATTATTATCTTCTTACTTTCTGGGTAATATTGCAAAGATTTGAAAAATAGCCCATTAATTATTCAATAACACTACTCTATATTCAAATTAATTAGGTATTGAGTAAACAAGTAGTGATTTGCTAATTTTGAAATTATATGTATTATGAATAAAAATCTATTTTTGCGCAGTGTTCCTTTTTCAAGGTTGCCACATCTCTATTATGTTCCCGCCAAAATAAAATAGCATCCATGATATTTTTGTTTTTGACGTTATTGATTTTTTGAATAAATAAAAAAAAATCTCTAAAATACATACTGTTACCAGTTAGAAATTTTTTATTTGCATAATTATGTCAGTGCTAATTCGTTTGTTCTGATATACAGGGACCATTTGAGAAGTAATGCTGCCAGTCGTTTTTTCAAATTTCATACTCAGATAAAACATCAAAAATTTTCAATAATATCAGCTTAAGATAAGCTCTCATATTATTACACAATTTCTGGTCTAAATTAGCGAAAATAAATAGAAAATTTTCTAATACTAACTACAACTAATAGTTACCTACTTGGTTTAGATCTGTGTGAGGTTCCTTTAAAGTAATATTGTGAGGTAATTTGAACGGCATCATTGTCTACAAATTGCGAATAAAAATAAATGTGAGTAATTTAAACATTTTAATTTGGAAAATTTTCCACAAGAAGCCATAAGAATAACATTTAAAACGCCACTGGACTAGACAATAACGGTAACTAAAGTACCTAATAGGAGATACATTGAGACAATAATTGTTATGATAAACTCTTTTCGATTATTATTATACAAGAGCCAATAAGTAAAATTTGAATAGAAAAGTTAGACAGAAACAATAAATTGAAATTCCATTAATCTTTTTCAAAGCACCGTTTTGTGCATGATATATACATAAAAATTGTTATTTTCCAGTCTATAATAATACTCTATGTTACTAATAATTTATTATTAGTTAGCATGCACCATACATTAACTACTGTCAAATATACTTTACTACATATACGGCATTCCTTTCTTTATAAATAATAAAAACAAGCTAGATTCAACACAGTAATTAGTACGATTTTTCTTCATCGCGTTTACTTGTTTCTAGTGCAACGCGAAGATAATTGGAAAAAGGTCAACAAGCAAAATTTATAGCTCAAAAATTTCCACAATTTTGCATTATGCAAGCATTTAACTAATAAATGAAAAGAAAATATATTCATTATCAAATGTCTTGTGCCTTTTAATATATTAAAAAATTCCAGGAAGGCGCATCATGACTTTTGGGTATTTGAGATAAAAAACCCAATAAAATTGAAATAGTGTTTAAAAAGTTTTTAGCATAAAATTCTTAAAATTTCATGAAAAGTTTGCACCACAATGATATGTTAATGTTGGGATAATGTTGTGATCTTCCTAACCGTACATATTGAATTTCAAGAAAACATCCGCTGATAAATAAGCTACATATTAAAACGTATTTTTTTGCCAAAAGACACATTCCAAGGGCAAAATGCATGCGAAACATTTAAATCATAATAATAATAAGAACGCAGATTAGGGGGTAAATCAACCCCTACCTGCGCTTGCCCCTGGGGTATCGTAAGCTGAACTATGTTAGTGGCCGCCACCAGATGGGGTTGGGAATTAGTAGTGGTTCCTACCGATGATGCTATTGGGCTTTCTGGGGCGGTCGTTGACAAGGGATCGCACTTCTCTTCGATTGCGTCCATAGTCGAAGCCTTTCGGCACCTAGAAGAAATTGAGGTTAATAAAAACTGTCTACGATTTTTTTTTAATTATGAAATTAACACAAACGGCTGACCAAAAAAATAATCATGACAAGTAAAACTCATGAGAGACGAATATTGGTCAACCCCATTTGAATTGAGCGCAAAGTATGAAATCATTTGAGAAAAGGATTTGAAACTCTGTGACTGGTTTAATTTAGGTATTTCATCCCTGGGATCGACTAGTATAATAGAATTTTTTTATTGAATTAGATAATTTTTATGACTATTTATAATTTATTAATAGTATCTTGATCTTGATACCTGTAGAGCAATTAAAATGGTAATTTGATATTGATCCTTACACCTGCAACATTTTGAGAGTGATACAGAATTAACATGTGGTCCAATATGGAAATGAGAAAGGAGTACATTACAGATTTCCAGGAAAGTGCAAAAAGTAGTTGATTACCAAAGAAAATGTGCCCAGTTGAGTGCCAAAGGTGAAACATCAAATAAATATTATGAAGGGTAATCTTCTTAAAAATCGATCAAAACAGTGAGCGGTGTATAGCGGTATGTAGAAAAAGTCATAGAAATATGAAAACACTTTCAAAAAATGATAGAAAAACATGGCACATTCCCCAATAAGAACAAAATTTACAGGCATTCACGTGATTCTGGCATTTTTTCACAAAGAAAACTTTATATCCATACCTATATTCGCAAAATTCTAAGTCTCGTATTATTTTATTGAAATGTCTGAATAGCTGTATGGTATGTGCAAGAGAAATGATGATGCACAATAATTATATATTGAAGTACACATACCTACCTAATTATTGTATGACCTACACATTATAATTCCATTAAACAGTTTAGATTTACACTCATTACAACCGTACAACATAGCCAGAGTACAAAAACCTAACTGAAAATTCTATGCGTACATTCAACTTCACTTCCATCAATCGAAAACATTCATAAAGCATTTTCAACATACCAAGCTTCTCAAAATTTATTCATATTTCCAATATCTCTGAAACTTATAGAAATATCAATTGTTTTTGAACTTCTGTAGTTAACATATTTAAAGGCCAAGAATTACTAATTAATAGTCGCAAATCATTACTCCTATGACCCCTTGTTTATTTTCTATGTTCAACAAAAATTTGAAGTTGCTTATACGTATAAAAGAGCAAATTTCAATTAGTTATGTATTAAATTCCTGAACTAGATAAATCCGAAGTAAATTACAGCCTTGTTGGAAGCAATTTACTCTTCTTGGAAATTTTCTTTTGAAATATGTTTTCGAATTATATTTAATTTGCCTATACTTAGGGATTATTATTATAATATAGTCATTCATAATTGATTCAACAAGTGCCTTATAAACCATTATTAGCGCATTTCTATCAAGAATTCATTGAATAGAATTAGGGAATTAATTTTCCTATTTTGTTAGATTAGTGCTCAGCATGCAGCAGCCATTCAATGTGATGGTCAATGATGACATTATCAAGATATTTAGCGTGTGATGATGTCTCCTGGAGAGTGATCAATTATTAAAATGTTGTCATTAGTTGGTTGGTTAGTTAGTGAATAAGCCATATAATTCGTCTTTGTTGCGTTTACTTTTGTTTTAACCAACCAACAATTCTATTTTCAACATTTTCTCAGGTATTAGGTACTATAGAACATATTAAAAGAACAGTATTATCAGCATATGGAATTGCTAAACCATCAATATTCAGACTTCAAAATCTAGAGATCATTATTCCATTATCCAATTGTTGGATTCTGCAAATATTTTAAATAGACGAATTTATTCATATTTTGAGAAACATAAAATCAATGTATTTGATGCCCTCAACAACCAAAGAAATATTAGAGCTAGGTTTTGGGATTGAAAACAAGTGCATAGAATTCCATTGAGCATTGTGAAACTAGCTAGGGATACCCAATGGGTCCTGTGTCATTTGATGAATAAATCGTTTAAATAAGCAGATTTTTACAGAAAATTTTGAAACTACACCATTTTACAGAAAAGAGTCATCCTGACATTTTTGACAGTAATAGGCCCATACTCTTTCCCCAGTTTTTCAGGCTACTACAACAAACTGTGTAGGAGACCTGCTAACTTTTTGAACAAAAATGCCACTTGTTCAACCCAAATCAACAGGAATATTTGGAGCAAAGCATCAATCTTATCTGGTATTTTTTGCAATTACTGAGTTTTTTGAAAAAGGTACGACTTGGCATCTTCATACAACCTAATTTATGACTTCCTAAACAGGGGAAAAGCGCTGAAAAATATAGTATTGTATGATGTGAGAAGGAATCTATCAAAGGGGCCAGGAAAGGGCGCTCTCTTCATATATCAAATAAAACAAATAGTGGGTGGAAGCAAGAATGGAAAAACTTGTAATTCTGAGACATTGGTGAAACTCTCAGGAATGCCACAGTTATAGCATCTTGGGGCCAATATTGCTTGTTATGTTCATAAAAAACACTATTCTCAATAAACCAAACCATTAAATAACTATTGGATTGGTATTGATTCGACATTCAAGTAGTGGAAATATCGGTGGAAATCCTTATCATATTGAAGATTTGCTGTGGGTATATACGTATTTTTTTTATATGTCATTATTTTTATTATCATCAATAATTATTGTATCAAAGTTATTTATTTCATTATTCTGATGAAGCTACAATGTAGCAAAACATGTTATTATTTTAATTTATTTAGTGAAAATATAATAATTATACACTTTAGGCCAAATTCCACACTTTTTCTATGCTAATAACTTTTTATGTATTGCACCGATTCAATTTACTTTTAGAGGGTTAGTAGGCTGTTATGTTCTTGTGAGGCTGTTCAGTTTTGATCAAAAAGTGTTAGTCAGCACCAAGGGCCGGACTTACATGACTATTTGTAAAATGCTGCAAAAGAAATTTGCTCTACTCAAATTTGAGCTGATATGTGCGAAACTCAAAACAAAAATAGGAATTCATAAATGTACTTTTTATCCTGTGGATCTAATTAAAGTTCCACACTTTTGCATCGGTAGTATCTTTTTATGTATTGGACCAATTCAATTTATTTTTGGAGGAAGTCGGCTTCTATGTTTTTATCAGGCGGTCCAGCTTTGAATGAAAAGTAGGTATCTGACAGGACCGGACTTACGTCACTCTTTCTAAAATGCTCCCTTTAATATCGTGGCAAAAGAAGTGTGTTTCATTCTAATTTACTTTTGGAAAATACACAATGTAAAAGTGAAAATGAAGTAAATGCAACAATGTTTGAAAAAAAATTCAAAATTAATAAAACATAAGTAGGTAATGGAAAAAAGGTATGAGAAGCAACTAGGCAACAAGGCAGAAGGAAAAAATACTACAAAAATTGTCTACAAAGAATATGTCTGCCGCGACTATGAATAACTGCTTGCAGCTTTTGGCAGTACTTGTTATAATTACTGTAATGTAATATTACTGTAATAACGTCCTATAAAAATTATGTCCAACATTCCTCAATCAGATTTTTTAGTTGATGAATTGTTTCAAAGGTGTGGTTGTAATGTCATGTTTTCTGACAGTCTCCATAAACAATAGTCAACCAGATTAGGATCTGGATTATTTGGAGGCCAATTGTTGGGTTCAATGAAAATGGGACACTGTTCTGGTAGAAACTACTTGAAACCTCATTGGTTCTTGAAATGTCTGTAATTTAGTTTAAACATGTCTGTTTTATCAGCAGTGAATAGTGAGCAAACACCCAAAATCATAGTATACTTGAATTCCAGCTATATTACAATGAAAGAATATCAAAATACTGAATAGTGTTATTCAAGATTCCGAAAAAAACACACAGACAATGAATACTTCAAAACAAGGACAATGAATGTTTTGGCTACAAGGGGAATCATATAAAGTTTTGATGCTGAGAACTGTTGTTTTTCGAATAGCACCCCCAAGTTTAAGCCTTGCAAAGCAATTTTTAATAGAAGAATAACATAATACTAAAGAGTGCTACTGAGAACTATGAAAATAGAATTCTTTCCCACATTTTGGTGACAAGGGCAATCCAATGCCACTTTGATGCTGAGAACTTTTGTTTTTCCAGTAGCATTCCTGAGTTCCAGCGGTACCACTAAGTTCCAGCTTTAATAGGCGATTTTTCATAAAAGAATATTGAAATACTGAGGGGTGCTATTCAGAACTGTGAAAAACACACAGAAGATAGATGTTTTGTCTACAAGGGGAATCAAATATAGCTTTGATGCTGAGAACTGTTGTTTTTTTAGTAGCATCCAGCATCGTTGAGATCTAGCTTTGAAAAGTAATTTTTACTAGAAGAATATCAATATACTATTGAGTGATAGTGGTCCCATCTCTTTGAAAAAAAACCTGTAAAGTATGCATGTTACAGTCACAAGAGCAATAGAATGCTGCTTCAATTCCGAAAACTTTCGTTTTTCGAGTAGCACCCGTGAGTTCCAGCTTCAATTACTTAGTGATTTCTAGATAAAAGAATATTAAAATATTGGATAGTTGTAACTTTGAAAAGAAATGTGCCTTTTTTGGTGTTTTTGTTCAAAACTATATCTATATTTTATCAAGAATCATAGAAATATAGTGTGTAGACCAAGAAATGTCATGAGAACTCCTAGTAAGTAGGGTTGTGCTGGTAATGAAACTATAAAAATAATTTTATTTATACAGTGGTGTCGCGATAATCCGATCCCGTGATAATCCGTATGCTTCTGTAATCCGCATCGCATTTTCGTTCCCTTGATGTACTCTGTAATCCGGATTTCACTTGATTCAGTAATCCGAATTCATTTACATGACTCTTGAAAATAAAAGCACAGTGGTGTAAATCTTACTTTACAGTGGGCTACAGAGAATACGCAACTTTGAAAGAAATAATGCTACAAAACCTTAAAGAAATTGCTTTTGAAAAACAACAGCACAGCAGTCACCAAAGTAAAATCACCAACTTCTTCCAAGCGGTGCAGA